TTTTTAAAGGAATTAAAACAAGAGCAAAAAAATTAAATGAAAACCTATGAGGTTGGGGTCAAACCCCGCTAGCTACAATTTGATTTACACCCATTAGTGAGACAACTCTTAATACTTTTTTTTGGAGAAATCTCTTGAAGGTAAAGGAGCAACAAGGTTATCCTCCCCTTGAGTTGCGTGCTCCTCCACATGTGCTTTTGATGACAATGATGTTTCAAGAGACAATAAGAAACCAAAAAACATTATGTTAGATCTAATATACTTTTTCAATTGAATAAAAAAAACTTATTGAACCAATGAGGACAAAAGTCCAAAAACTTTAAAATATATTTTCTTTTAATAAAAGTCTTTTTCTTATTTTTCTAAAATCTTTTTATTTAAAACCCATTTAAGACAACTCAAAAGTTTTATCGATAATTAATCTCTATTAAAGAATTTGACTAATCACCTTTAGTAAGATCTTCTTTCTTGACTATATTTTTTTCATACATAAAACTCAAATTCGAGATCTTAGTTAATAATAATAATTGTCTAATACTAGTTAGAATAAAGACTTGCTAGTATTATAAATGATAAATTAATAATCATGTATTGTTAATATTCATTTTAAAATTAATATTTTAGATATATTGAGTTTCATTTTTATTCTCTAGAATTTGTTTATTGTTATGATTGATACACTCTATTTTATTTCTATTATTGTATGTCATATTTTGTTATTTTATAGTATAATTGAGAACGTATATTTTTATTTTAGTTTATAGTATTTAAAATAATTTATTATTGTATTATATAAAAGTTAGTATGCTTTAATAATTGTTATGCTTTATATTTTACAAAGTTAGTAGCTCGTGACTTACCTATTATGCCCTCCACTCACCTAATATTAAATTGGCCCATCTAACCTAACCAAAAAATATGTTTGGTTGTGATGGGCTACCCAAATGGACTAGGTTATGCTCATTGACAACTCTTAAATTGATCCGTAATTTTGACTTAATTACTAGAGTCAAAACAATACAAAGCTCATGTGAACTTGAGAAGTAAAATAATAATAAAAAAATATAATAATAATATTTAATATATTATTTTTTCTCCATCACACCATACTAGTTTAAAGGCTTAATTTTTTTTCTCTCAAATATAATAATTATGTAATTTTAGTCTCTTAAATTTTAATTGAATAATTTTAGTCTCTTAATAATTACAATCATACAATTTTAGTCCTTAATTTTTAATTGAATAATTTTAGTCCTTAAAGTATTACAATTGTATGATTTTAGTTTTCAAGTATCACAATTATACATTTTTATTACCAATTTAAATTACATATATTAATAATTTTAATAATAATAACTATATATCATTTAATATCCAAATGAAAATTAATATATATATATATATATATATAATTCAAATAGGTCAAAAAATTTATAAATGAAACAAAATTGTATAATTATAATATTTGAGAAATTAAAATTGTTTATTAAAATTTGGAAAATCAAAATCGCATGATTACTACAATTGAGAGACTAAAATTGTTTTTTAAAATCTTAGGTACCAAAAACCCACTATTGTAATATTAGAAGGATAAAAATATAATTGTATATATCCTTAAAAGATTTTTTTTTATAATTTTATTAAAAATTATAGTATGCTTTTAACTTGTTGCTTTATTTATGGATTAAATCTCCAGTAAATATAAAGTTTTAGGTCTTTAATTTAAAAGTGAAAAGTGCTAGAAAACATATTTTTAATATAATTTATTATTGGTTAAAATTTATTAAAATTAAAAAATTATGAGTGAAAAATAAGCAAATAAGAAATGAAATTCACCAAAATTTAAGATTTTAATAAATTTCAATTAATAATATAAAGTGTTCCTAAAACCATCATTTCTTTTTTATCTATTATGATTGACCAATTAATAAAAGTTTAGAGAGTTCGTACAATGTCATGAGTTAAAATTTTGTTGATATTATTATATACCAAAAATATAATTAAGGGTCTCTTTGGAAAGATTTTTCAATTTCAAGTTTTAAAAAATTAAAAAATTATAACTAGTTTTAGTATATTTTGAGTTTATTTTTTTTTAAAAAAATTATATTCAATTAAGACTAATTTAAGAGTATGTTTGTAAGATAGTGTCAATAACAACGATAATACTAATAATAATGACAATAACAATAATGATAATAAATATGTTGGTTGCAATAGCAACCACAGTGTTATTATTAGTGGTAATAATGATGATAACACTATTAATAATAATGGTGTTGATGTTAATAATGGTGATGTTGATGATAATTATATCTCTTATATTCATAATAATCATAACAACAATTTTGATATAAGGTAATAATGTCAATTGTATCTATTATATTCACAATGGTGATAACATATTGACATTGGGTAGTGATGTGAATGTAGATGATGACAATAATAGTGATTGTAATAAGGATTATAGTCAAATGTTGCAAAAATTATTTTTTTAAAACAAAAAACTGAATTTGCAATTTTTTCTTGGTTAAAAATGAATATAATAGTATTTTAAAATTGACTTCATTTTAGCTAAAGATAATTTATTTTAAAAATTATATCAAAATAAATATAAAAAACTAGCATCTACTTTGTACGAGTCCTATGTTTCTATGACCAAACATAATAATAATAATAATAAGCATAAAATAAGTAAAGAATTTACATGATCGTTTCAGAATCTATTTAATTATTTTAAGCATAAATTTTTTGAGTAAATAACATTATACTCTCCTAATATATATAGGAGTGTTATACGGCATTCACCTATCCTCTAATTATATTAAAATTTATAATTTAATATATATATTATAGTATAATTTAAACATTCAAAAAATATTTATTTATTATTATTTTTTTTTTGTAAAGATAGGAAAGATTACAAAGATGGTCGTAATGAGAATTGAACTTAGGTCCTCATGCTTTTAAGCCCTCCCCACCCAACTACTAGGCTAACCCTAGTGGTTCTTATTTATTATATTTATATAAAATAAATAGTTATCATGTACATTGCGCTAAAATACTAGTTAATTTTTAATATTATAGCTTGTCTACATGTAAATTAAACTCATGGAATTCATAAAATAATTGAAATTAGATACCAAGTCAAATAGGAAACTAAATAAATCTTACTGTAGGTGGTTTGAATTTCATAATTTTTCAAAATTAGACTCAACATATTAGTAAATACATCAATTGTCCTGAAGAAGGATATCGAAGTTTTGAATTTCAGAAGTTGGACAAATCCAATATGGGAGATTCTACGGCATTTTCTTCTAGTAAATAGTAATTTAGTATGAAACTAAAAAGTATCACTGCAGATAGTTTGAATGTCATAAGATTTCAAAATCAGATTCAACATACTAGGAAACACATTAATTGTCCTGAAGAAGGATATTGAAGTTTTGATTTTCAAAAGTGGCACAAATTAATATGGGAGATTCTGTTGCATTTTTTTTTCTAGTAATTTATTATTCTTTTATCAAGTAAAGGAAGAAATGAAATAAAGGAGAGACATTAAACTCATGAAATTCCTAAAATAATTGAAATTAGATACCAAGTCAAAAATGAAACTAAAATATTACCGAAGATAGTACGATTTTCAAAATCAGATTCAACCTATTAGGAAACACATCAGTTGTCCTGAAGAATGATATTGAAGTTTTGAATTTCAAAAGTTGGACAAATAAATATGGGAAACTCGGCAAATGAGGGAACTAATCGATAATAATAAGAAAGAAAATCAAGCTAATGGATTTCGTAGGGGCAGAATTCAAAATTAGCTATTCTACAAAATAAAACAGATATTTAATGGGGAAAGATATTAAGCATAAAAAGCCTTGAAGAAATAAAATGAATCAAATATTCAGCTAATTTTGAAAGAGTAAATTGTTTTATTTTATACATAAATAAAATTATTCTAGAAAGGAGTAAAGGGTATAAGAAAAAATAGGGTAAATATCCTTAAAATTTTCAAGGATTATATTCATAAAAAAAGACTCAAGTATCATTCTACATAGCTGTTGAGGAAACTTCCTCAAAGAAACCATATCTGGATTCCCAAAGCCCAAAAGAGATATCCTAAGGATGTACTTAAAGAAATAAGAAAAATAAAAATCAGAGAAGGGGATAATCTTAATCTTATTAGACTCGTTATTATTCGGGCTCAACTATATTCTGTGACCCAAGTTGCATATGGATATAGGTACAAGTCTGGTATGGAAACAGTATGGCAAAATTTCTAAAATATATGATATTGTTTCAATGGGATATTTTAAATGAAATCATAAAACCATAAGGAATAAAGTACTTAAATAATAAGGTAAACGAATTTTTGTAATGTTCTTACCCAAGTAAGCAAATATATTTAAAGGCACAGGTTTTGAAGGGAGTGAAATAGTAATTTGTTGTTTAGTGGCACACCAAACCACTGGATGTGTACCCAATAGGAGTTCTGCGACAGTTTAGGAGTACCCATGTATCATAATCTGTGAGAATACCACATTCAAACCCTGAACTTACTGAAATTCACTTACTGCATTACATATATAGTTGAGTGGTGCACCTAATTTCATCCCTATGTACTTGCCATGTCCTTAGTTCACCATTTTCCTATTAACTATAAATAGACTTTGTAAGACATGCATAAGGGAATATTGAAATTGTGACTTGATTTATTTACTTAAATTTTTCGGTTTATAATAATATTTTGAATGTGTTATCTGATTAAAATTATAAATATGAATATGATGAATAACCTATAGGTCCTACTAAGATACTATCTTTTCTCCTAGTTATAAGCACATAGGACAAATCATTAAGATTAAGAAAAGTAATTAAATTGGTTGTTTTTAATTAATTCTGTCATAAATTCTAATTTTATTTCAAAGATACCTTTGTTTTAAGTGGTTATTATATTTAATGCTACTTATAAGTGAATATATCGGAAATAGAGTTAGTGATTAATTAAGAGTATAAAAGAAAGTTTTCCTTAAGTAACTTATAAAACTAATGATTGTTGCTTATAATTAGGGTTTAGGGGTAATAAACTCTAACTTGTTGCTTATAATTAGGACCAGAAGCAGTATTATTATGTACCTTAGTGGTCATGTTGCATAACTAATCTAACAATTTGATCTAAATTCTAAATAAGATATATTTTGCCACTCTTCAGTCATGGATGATCCCTGTGATCCAGAACAAGTAATATAGAATAAATAAATGTTTGTCAAGTTTATTTTAATTTCTTGCTTTCCTTTGCCGTTGTCCTGTGTTGCTCTTAGGTTGTGCGATGAAGCTACTAGTGCTCTTGACAGCACAACAGAAGCAGAGATTTTAAGTGCGTTAAAGTCAGTAGCACGTAATCGGACTTCCATATTCATTGCTCACAGGCTTACCACTGCAATGCAGTGTGACGAGGTAAACTTTATCTATCTAGTTTTATGTCCTTAAGCGGTACTTAGTTCGTAGATTCTATATATAAATGTTTCAATGCGTACCTAACAAATTTTATCCAAGTTTACATAAATACCTCCAGAACAGTTACTATTTTTGTTTCTAATAGTAATCCAAATGTTGGAGTTGGACACGTCATTACAATAAAGCCAAGAAAGTATAAAATAAAAAATAAAAAAAAAACATTTTTCTAACAGTAGATTTATGATGAACCCAAAATCATCCTTACTGTAATTAACATCTTATATTTTGTGGTATGTATAACTTGGTTTGACATTACGTTATTTACATTAAAAGAAATTTTTGCCAATGTTCAGATCATTGTTTTGGAGAATGGGAAGGTGGTTGAGCAAGGACCCCATGAAGTGCTCTTATCAAAAGCAGGAAGATATGCACAGCTGTGGGGACAGCAAAATAACACGATTGATGCAATTGATACAGCCATCAAGCTGGGTGCATAAAAATGATAAAAGCCTCTCCCTTCCTCTTGGTGAGAAAAAAAAATATTTATTTATTATTATTTTTTTTTTGTAAAGATAGGAAAGATTACAAAGATGGTCGTAATGAGAATTGAACTTAGGTCCTCATGCTTTTAAGCCCTCCCCACCCAACTACTAGTCCTTACTCCAAATTGAGGTCGAGTACGAACCTCACCGAAATTTGTTTTACTCCAAATTGAGGTCGAGTACGAACCTTGCCGAAATTCGTTTCACTCCAAATTGAGGTCGAGTACAAACCTCGCCGAAATTCGTCTTACTCCAAATTGAGGTCGAGTACGAACCTCGCCAAAATTCGCCTTACTCCAAATTGAGGTCGAGTACGAA